GACCCCCCCCCCCCCCCTACAAATATTCCTGCCCCGCTATATACACAGCTCAGCATAAGAGATTTAGTGTTGTGCAGCCAATCCCACATAATAACTCACTCCCTCCCTCCCAGCTCCCAGGCTACTTCCCTACCTCCCAGACCCTCCCCCCTCCCGACTTTGCCTTTTATTTTCCCACTAGCTGAGCAAACAGGGTCCAGGAGACCCTACTGCAGGTACTAGTCCAGCCAAAACCACATGCTTTGCCTACTGGCGCGACTACACTCATGTGGCTGGAAGCGTCTGCAGGTCCAGAACCCTAAAACCGCAGGGAACAGGCTCGTCCCTGAGCAGCTATACTCCCATGCCGCTGCACTGTTTACCACAGCTGAGGATTTAACCCTATCCAAGCCAGACGGAAAGCCTCACTCCACTAGTCTATTAGTAGCTGGGTAGCCTGTCTGGGAAGGACGCTGTGCCAGAATGCATAGCGGAACCCCATCCCAGAAATCGGTCCATGTGACCCAAAAAACAGGAACCTGCCGCACTGAATGAATCTCATTCTGATAACAGGCCTGTTTTGCACTCTTCATACTGCCTTCCAGTTACTGGCTTAAACAGACACCAAAATCAAGCTTCTGTTTATCACGCCAAGTTTTTATAATCATAATATTCAACAATTATCTTTCATCTAAACATCTCAGTTTTTATATGTGCCTGTCTTCACATTTAATTATATTTTTCAATACATGTTAACCTGGAAGTCTGTTCTAGTTATTGCATAGCTGTAATGCTGTTCTGCAGGAGGAATCGTACCGAAGTTCCCCGAGCTAACGCATGATAGCGATCCAAAGGCAGACCCCCCTCTCCTGGCTCCCGCTCCGAACCACGTGAGAGAGAGAAGCTTCTCAAAGTCTGGCTCTCATCTGCGGTGTTCCCTGCTCTCCCGCCCAAGCAAAGGTGCTAATTCGCTTTCTCCTTTTTTCAAGCGAGTGCAGTGTTTGCGTCGCTTCGGAGGGAAAATGACAGCAGCACGCCTGTGAAACGTCTGCAATATTTTTTTTGTGGCTTACATGTTTTTTTCTAGAACACGTATGCGAAACTGAAATGCTTCGTTTTTTTGGTGTCTCTCGACCGCCCCCCCCCCCCCACTTCGAGGATCAGCAGTGGCACCAGCTCGGTACAATGATGGCTTTTCCATGGCTAGAGAACAAGGACTCACATGTTATCCCTATGGTGCAGCATAGTGGGGAAACAGAAAGCACAACAGTGAGTTATAGATAACACACAGGTCATTTAGCAGGCGGGCCGAGAGGTGAACAATGTCCTGGCATGCATGGCGACTGATTGGCCTGTCCTGTGGGGAGGGCGGGATCCTCCAATCAGCTATCTCCTTAATTACACCCCATTTCATAAAGGTCAGATCCTGGTGAGAGTATAAGCTGTAAACTCCAGCAAACACTACACACGTCATGTGCAACACACACTGTCACTCCTGATTCTGTGTATATGCAGCAGCGCGATGACTCTGCCAAATCAGATTTTAGCCAAAAAAAACCTTTCCGGAAGCATTCTCATTTTGACTTTCAATTACAAACATTCACACCCATTCCAATGCCAGATTAGTGCTGGTAAATCCGTGTTACATGAAAAATATACATGATAAAAAAGGTTTCTTTTTTAATTACTGTAATTTGCAAAGAAAGATGGCAAATAGATTATAGAATTGTTAAAACACAAGTAATTTGATTAATGTTTAAGATTGCTGTACATAAGTCAGTCAAACACAGTTGTGATTTATAGGCTGAAAAGGGCACAGAGATATGGCTGAGCCATCGGTGCTGGGCTAAGGCTGCAGGAAAGCCGACTTGTTTATGTTTGGTTTGCTTTAAATCAAGTCCCTGATTCTCTGCTTGTACTGACCCCACTGACAAGGAGGAGGCGGAAAGAGGAGGGAGTTATCAGGAGATATGGGTTTTCTGCAAGTTAGGGGAGACGATGAAGGCAGGGGAGGCCCTTGGGAGGCCAGAAGCTTGTGCACACAGAGACAGCAGGGTTGGGGAAGAGCGGAAGGGCGGGGGTGTCCACCTCGTCCTGCTCATTTCTTCTAACCCACTTTTGTTTTATCAGTGAAAATTTCACAAATGCCACCAGTTAAAGCCAAACTGAAGGCACTTTACCTTAAATATATGAAGGAAAATGCTGCTTTCATTCCTAAAACAGGTTTAAAACAATTAAAGAGATGAAAGAGAAACTGAAAATAAGAAAGCATCCAAGAAAGGAGAGCATGACAGTAATTATAAAGGAAACCACAACAGGGTCAGACTGCAAATGGGTGCAGGTTTGCTCTTAAAAGCAAATGCCCTGTGGCTTCCTGTAGCTCCTTTTCCATAATGCACTAACTTTTATGTAAAGAAGATCCTGATCCTGGTAGGATGGGGGACGGCTCAGCTTCGCCCAGACAAATCATTCCCCACACAATAGCATCACTGTGAACTCTGAGTCGTGGATGTTTAAGGAAAAGCAAAGCCAACTGCCTTCACGGTGGGAGCTGAGTACCAGTACCCATAATGCCTTGAGAGGAACACGGGGCATGTTTCTGGGGCTGTGGTTGCAGAAGGACGTACCTCTCACAGACGCGCACTGTCCAAGCAGCAATGATCCAGGAGGAGATGCTGAAGACTAGCAGCACAGTGCCTGGGCAGATGGTCATGAGCGTCTTCATGACGAAGCGGGTGTTGAAGTTGATCTTATTTAGGGCCCCGATGCTGCGGGACGAGGCGTCCGTGAAGAGCTTACTGTGCAGTAGCATGACGCGGCCGATTAGGTAGAGGCGCAGGAACATGGGGATGGAGAGAATAATGTCCACGTCGGCATTGGCCACTGAGGGCGTGTACGTGAACGCCAGCCGGGCGGTCCAGGTGAAGACGTACTGGCCTGGAATGGGATGGATAGCGCACACCAGCAGCTCCAGTACAATGAAGAAGATCCTCTCATATGTCATGGCTATCCTCCAGTCATCGGCCCCGTTGTCCACCATGAAGAGCTGCGGCGATGAGACGAGCGATGGGGGGAAACAGCCGAATTAGCAGCTCATCAATAGGAGATTAAGGAAGTATGTCAAAGTTCACAAATCCAGGGAGATTTCATTCTACTACTTACCATCTGCTTTATGATTTCTCCTGAATTATCATTATTATTTCTGTACTCTGTGTTGTGCATCATTTAAAAAGTACCCAGCAGAATTAAGGATACTTCATATATACTCACTCCATATGCACGTATACACACACAGGAAAATATATATTATATATATTATATATGTGTGTGTGTGTGTGTGTGTGTGTGTGTGTGTCAGTCATTCAAATATTTGAAAGGAATTGCAATCTGAAATTAAAATTTGCACAACCATGTATCATCTGTATGCGAATAATGCAGGAAAGATCATCATTCGTTTAACAAGGCTAATTAGTTAACAGCTCAGTGTTTAATGTGATCGTAAATCTCCCTTTTCCTTTTCTTGAAAGTCACTGACTTTGCACTGGAATCAATTCAGTGTCACTAAGCAGGAATATACGGCAATAAAATAACTACACAAAATACATTTTTTGTGACACTGAAGCACCTCTGAAAACTTGGGCAATTTTGGTCATCATTATTACTCAGTGGTAATTCTACAGAAGCAATTAATTACTGGTGACCCAGTCCACTGAGTGTGCAAGCCTCATCCCTATACAGTTTGTTCCATCGTGTCCTTCCAGCATAAGCACTCTCAGATATACACTCACCTGGATTTCCCGGGCATGGTACATTATAATGAGACCAAGCAATATAACAGTGGAAAGGCTGATAAGGCATTTCAGTGCAAATGAGTATGAAGATTCCTGCAGAATAACAGGGGGAGACAGAGAGAGAGAAAAGGAGAGAGGAAAATTAACACATGCCGTAAATACGGCCTCACATATTACAATCTTACAGTTAATACTGCAGTAGCCTCAGCTCCTTAAACCATGTCCTGCAGTATTTTTTTTTCTTTTTTCCTGTAATGTTTTAAATTCTATCTCTGCTGACAAACCATCAATCTTGCTGTGTCTCTTCACAAAATGTAAAATACTGAGGCAGGACAGCCACACAAACAGAGATAACCAGGCCACAGAAGGCACTGCCCTTGATGGAAATCTTAAAAACTTCAGGAGTCAAACAAATGATTCCTTTTAAAATAAGGAGAAGAAGAAAATTGCCAAAGGCGAAGTTTGATTACGGCCCTTCAGATGCAGCTCGATGGCGCAAACGTGTGTAATTGAGATTAATAACAGGGGTTGCTGTGCATCTGTGAGAGTAAATGGGCCGAGCACTGTGGCGTGGCGCATGCCAGCGCGTGCCAGGATGCCAGCTGTTTGGAAGCAGCCTGCTGCAGTCACCCACCCGCCACAGCCGGCGACATGTCCATTCAGAGCAAAGACCGAGCCTAGCAACACGCGGGAGCCTGATGGCCGCCTCGCGGCATTCGGCGTGCCCTGCCGTGGGCTGGCACCCCGCCATGCCTGTAACCCATGCTGCCCACCCTCCGAGACCCTGTGCTGGATAAGCGTTTGGAAAATGGATGCAGAGGAAGGCCATCCCCAGCTGCCCACTTGGCACAGTGGATGGCAGAAAGCCACAGATTCGACGCCTGGGAGCGTCACATGGGGGATGTATCAAAATGACAGACGCGTATTTTAAAACGGGTTCAACTTAAAAGCTAATTTGCCCAAGAGCCTTCTTGTATTTGAGATTGCGTTGTCTTAAAAAAGAGAATTACTGAATTTTATATGCCCGCACATGTGCAACCAGGAGGTTAGGGACAAGGGGACTGGACAGGTCAGTAAAACACATACAAAGCCCTCTAATGATTTTTTAAAAAAGCCCATTAATCTTATGAAGGCATCCTCACTTGGGGGCTGTTACTGCTCGGCTCATATCCATCACTGAGGGGGGCGGTGATGGTGACAAAGGCGGCTGTAAAGGCAGCAGTGAAGACGGTCCTGATGGCGGCTGTAAAGGCGGCGGTGACAGTGGTGGTGAAGGCAGCAGTGAAGGCGTTCATGATGGTGGTGGTGAAGGCAGCAGTGAAGGCGTTCA